AGCTCACGCAAGTCGTTTAGTTAGTTGGAACGACTCCTCATGAATCCCAGCAATGCTGGAAGAAGCCCGTTGCGTTGCGTCAGCTGGTCACAGAATGACGGATAGTTTATTAAAAAACTGCTTTCCGGGTTGAATCTAGACTCCACACGTCTGCAGCGAGCTCCTGCCACTTCTGGGGCTCAGGAACGAGCTTTTTCACAGAAAGAGTGAATCAAAAGCTTCTTCTATAATGCAGAGGGAGGAGGGATGGGGAGCGCAGTACGACCGAGCATTTCGGGGGTGCAGTGGAGCAGATTCAGGATCAGTCACGCAACCAATGACAACCCTGCAAGACCGAGCAAAGTCAAAGGAATGCGACAGCAACAGCAGCAGTAGTAGTAGCTCTAGTATAAGAAGAGTTGGGAAGCGCAAGCTCTGGTGGGGACCAAGTTTACGGCGAGCCATGTCAGGACCTGGTATAATCATTAAATGGGGCCACCCGGTAGGTATCATCCGCAACGAAATCAGGAACGAGAAGGGAATAATTTGGTTAAAGTCCCCGAACGTCGATGATGGTGCCAGGGGTGGGGGGATGAATCTTCCGTTGAGTCTGCCTGCTCCCCAGAAATGCAAAGATTGCAGGAAGCCAAAGGCGGTGCCTGCCTGCCTGCCTGCTGGATCCTGATCCAAGACATAGATGAAAGTGGCGATCGATCGTCGATCTCTGCAGAGCCGCGAGTTGCATGAGAGATTGTTAAGGGGCCGCTTTTGCGTGTGCCGGTTGCAGAGGATGGATTGCAGCGTGACCGCCCAATGGCCAGCAGCGAATCTTCATCGTGTCAGGGAGCATGCGCTACTAGACAAAGATCGTGGAAGAAAAGAGGTCCCCATTACTAGCCCCCTACATTCTAGTCCCCTCCCAAAAGTTCCTCCATCTCTCCTCATATTCCTCGCCCACTCTCTCGTTTTTCTTTTACTGCAGGATTATATCTATGTTGCTTCGCTTTTCTAATGCCATTCCTGCACTGCTGCTCTCCCCTTCTTCTTCTTCTTGCTGGTCGCCAGTTTTGCCTGGTTTCTCAGGAAAATCTTCGAGCTGTTCCTCGTATCCCGATGCTCGGTACCATTTTTCTGTTTATTTATGAAGAGTGAAACATTTGTTGTGTGGTTACTTTCTGCAGGAAAGTGTGTGTTTTTCTTTGTGTTTTTGTGGTTTGCTGCCTTCGTGAAAACTAGGTTTCTGTGGCCGAGTCAGCTTGTGTCAGCTGTGGGCCAACTCTCTCTCTCTCTCTCTCTCTCTCTCAACTTTGTGACATCCTCTTTGTTTGAATCTGAAAAACTCGATTAGGAAACAAGTCAATTGTATTGGCATTCGTAGCACAGAAAGCAAGTGGGTTTGATTATATTGTTGTGGTCTAGAGGAGGATTAGGATTAACAAAGTAGGGGAGGACACAACACACGAGACACCGAAGAGTAGGAGTAATTCAAGCTTAAAGGAAAAAAGGAATTGGGACCACCATCGCCAAATACGGGCTCAATAGCAATGAGAATAGGACAACGGTGGACTTTCCGCAACAAACAACTCGAGATGGATTTGGAATTGGAGAGAAATCGTGTAATCCAACAACCAAAGTGAAGCTAGAGAGAGTAACTCTTGTGAATAATAAAAACAAACAATAATAGGTTCTCTTTGCTAAATAAAAACTTTGATTGATTGATTGAAGCTAGATGCTTATATACCAAAACATGAAATAATGAAGCTTGAAAGTTTTGTTGTTGTTGTTGTTGGGTTTGTAATTAGAAAATATTTAAATTTATATATGGAACAATGGTTTTCTCAACTTGTAAGAAAATAGGGCATACACTCACAATGGATAGAAACTTTTTTAGTTGAGAATATTTTATTATTGTTATTGTTACTTTTGTATAGAAAAATCATAAATTAGTAAATAAATTATTTAACCACTGTAAAAACAAACACATTAGGAGATAAATTATCTATATATATATATATATATATATATATATATATATATATCCTGAAAACATAGTTAAAAAAATACATACAAAAGTATAAGATTAGAAAAAAGAACATTACAAAATATATTAAAGCTTATTTTGTGGGTTTTCATTGTTCTCTAAGTAATTTTAAAACTTCCTTACTTTGCTCATTTTGAGCCTAAATTTGCAAAAATATGATACAAACGATATTTGACAATACATCCTTTCAACAACCATTCAAATTAAATTCAAGGGCTTTGAAGCACTATGTAAAATGAATACATATATATAGACATATCAACATCAAAATAATATATTAATTTTTATGGTTCTTATATAGGATAAGAGATGCAAATTTTAAAGAACAAATAAATAAACAATGAATAGTTCTATTGAATAAAAAAAATCCAAAATTTAGCAGACTTTTTTAAGTATTATTATTCATTTTGTAAAAACATTTTTAGCCAACTCTAGCCATTCTAAGAATTTTAAGAATTTCATTTTCATTTTCTGAATATCACATCGTCTTTTGTGATAATTTTTTTCATTTTCATTTTTATTTTTTTTACTGTCAGCAGCTAAAAAATGTTTTTATTATTCATTTCGTTCAATTTTTTTCAGTAAAAGTTATTGTTCCCAAGGTTAAGAAATATCCTTGTTTTCCAGTTCCCAAATCACCAGTTATTTCAAAAATCTACATAATATCATTTTTTAAATTGATCAGACAAATTATTTAAATCTACTGCTAATTCTATTGTTTGATTTTTGTTTCTATACACACACCATAATGCATCTTTTCCAAAATAGCCAAATCAATGCAATTTTTTTTTTTACCCATACTGTATTACAATAAAATTTCTAATGCAACTGAAATTGGTGGCTTATAAATCGCACTATTATAGAATCTATGACAAGTATCAATGTTAAGTCTGAACTAAAACTCTCCTTCGAACCAAACTTTACAGTTTAAAATTTTTTCTGGTTTGGACTTAGCATTGACACTCGAGCTGTTATTAAGTCCACTGTCCATTATACTTACATTAAATTAAAAAAGATTGTACTTGATAAAAATCAAATGTAAACAAAGGAATCTTATTCACAGTTTTTTGCTGTTTCAGGCCTTGCAAATAAAAGTTCAGTCATGGTGGTAAACCAAGTATCAGATTCTGTGGTCAGTAAGGTGTTAAAAAACAAAGTCTGAAGAGATACCATTGAAGGATATAATAATAACAATAATAGTTATACCCAGCTCGAACAGAAAATAAAATTCTATTTTGGAGGCTTCAACGTAATGCATGACCTTTTGTTGTTGCTTTCTCACATTACAATGTGTAAAAAAGCACCCTACCCTGTCTACGATGTAAGCTACTGTTCAGCTTTTTTCCATGTTCTATGCATCAGAATCTAGAAACTTTGTGCTTGTGATGGAGCTCAGTTTCTGTTTTTACAATGAAACCCAATTGTTGTGGTGTTCAAAAAGCTTCGACATACTTAGAAAGAAGAAGTAGAAAAAACAGAGACAAAAGAAAAAGAACTTCAATCTAAAACTAATAATAAAGTAATTATGTGGTTGACATGATACCTTCTACAGGGGATAGGCATACATAAATTATTCTTAGTTGTGGATATCTCATTACCAGCAATTAAGCACATTTAATAACTCAGTAAATGACAAAGACAAGAACATGATATTTCAAGGATATATAGTTCTTTCTGAAACAGCATGCAAATGAATCTAAGTTCAGACTTCTCGAGATATTCAACAACACTAGCTCATAATTCTCAGGGATATACCAACCAAATACTATTGTCTGTGATTATGTGGCATTTTAATAATCCAATTTTAGAGTTAAATGGTATCTTCCTTAAGGGCACAACATTGAAATGCATGCTATTTTTGTTTTATTAAAATACTTCTCGTACCCAAGTTCGAAGGTTTCACGAACAAATTTTCCTTTTCGTCGTCGAAGTGGATATTAAAGGATTCATACTAAGCGAGTGAGAATCTTTTGAAAATTCTTACGTTTTTCATTAAATGATAGGACTCGAATTAAAATAAAGTTGCAGTGTTCTTTCATCTGAAAAAAATGTCGATTCATGTAGATTCAAATGAGGTAGCATGCCGTAAATTTTGCACAGTGCATATATAAATATTTTACAACTTGTCTGTGAGCACATATCAACAACAGAATCAAAACATACAAAAATTAGACTGTCTGAGTAAAACAAACCATCTCGAATTGTCTAGTTGCGCTGTTTGCCAGGATAACGAGTTAAAGTCTTTTGTAGTCACGGTGCACAATAAACTCAGAATTAAACTCCACACAAACTTTTACACACACACACACACACACAGACAAATGGGTTAACAATCATGCGGAATGGAGGGTAGATTGTTGTGGTTGTGTGGATATAATTTGCAGGAGCATCAACATCGATGCTCATTTTGATGCGTGGAATGAAACTAGAAACTGATAAAAACTTCCAATCTAAGTGTCAGTTCTTGCGGTTCTAGAGCGGTGAGACGGCGTCGCAATACAAACACCAAGTCCACGCACCGAGCACGGAGTTCCAGGTCGAAATGCGCACATCCGAAACTGGAAACCGTCCTTCTGTCACTGACACGAGGCGCATTGCGTTCGACATCACGGGGGAAATGGAGCTGCGGGGATTGATTGGACACGGTCAGCGAGCTAGTAGGAAGAAACTGAGAGACTAGAAACAGAGGCCATCTGCGAGTATCGGCGTTGCAATTGGGGAGAGTGGGAAGGGATGGAGTTGTGGGAGCGAGGCGACCGCCGTGCCAGCAAGTTTGCGTCGCCGGGACGACTCCTTCTCCTCCTCCTTCGATCCAGTAACTTCTTCACCACCATCATCCAGTGAGGAGAATCGAAATCCAACCCAGTTTTGTTTTTTGCCTGGTGTGTCCCCCCCCCCCCCCCCCCCCTTGTCTATTTAGAAACAAATCCCCAGAAAGACCCGCGAGAACCCACCCTTTTTGGCATCCTGCGAGGGGAGGGTGGGGGTAAATCACAGTTAATGGCATTGTTACCATTTGCAGGCCCGCGCTCTCTCTCTCTCTCTCTCTCACACTCGCTTTCTCTCTTTCTCTCTCTACCCTTCACGCACGCCTCCCGTCTTCATCCGCCCTGGTCGTCAATGCTTCTTCCCCCGAGTTTGGCATTTTGAACCTTTTTTTCCTCACATATGGCTTGTTTCGTTGTGTGGAAGCTCTCTCTAGCTTTGCGTCGCCCCACTTTGGTGCTCTTTGGTTTCCTTGCGACGTGTGGGCAGTCGCCTCTGTAGATCTCCTTGTGGCGGGGTTCCTTCGGTTTCCAGGTTTTGATGGTGCAAGAGAGCAATATTCGCGTGCAGGAACTTGTGGGTTGTAAAGATGCGACGCAAGTCGGGCAGGGCCTAGCTGTGAGGGAGCGATAGAGAAAGGGAGAGAGAGGGCGAGAGGAAGAGTGGAAGTGAGTGGGGGTGAAGAGAGTGAATGAAGAGATGGGGTAGCGAAACGAGGGCGTCGGAGAAAGCTGGAAAGAGCCGAGGGGAAGAGCTGCGGCAACAGGCGGGTGGATGGGGAAATGGTAACGGATAGGGAATTGCGGACGCTGCTCCTGTGGTGGCATGTGAATGCGGGCTTGGTGGGAGTGGGGGAGGAAGTGAGTGTGCGCAGGAGGAAATCCAAGGGTTGAGAGTTGCAGAATTCGTTGCAGTAGGGAGTGATTTTTTGTTTGCAGTTTTAGGCTCGATTAGGACGATAACAGGAATAACATGGAGATGCCGCCTCCAAACGAGCAGCGGTTCCAGCCCACTTTGCCTCGATGGCGCACCAGCGAGCTCCTCCCGTTCAGCCAGCAGCTCTCGCCGGGAGGGCCGTTCTCCGGTGTGGATTCCAAGTTTCTCATCGACGACAGCGTGTTGACAGATCTCATGGATCTGGACCCGCTCTGCGATCAGAACACGGAGCCATGGGCAATTGTGGGGCAGGACTTCGGTTTGCCGTTCGCAAGCTTCTCCCCTGGGGTGTTCTCGCCAGGTAATTTCTCCCCGTCCGCCATGTCTCCGCCTGCGTCGCAGGTATCTCAGAGCTCGCAGCTCTATGCGCAGGTTAATACTTTGATGGCTGTGCCGGGAGGGCAGTTTTCTTCTGGAGTCCTAGTGCAGGATGGTGGGCTCTCACCTTCGTCCTCGCGCCTGCTCGACCTCCTAGACCAGCCCGCAACGTCGGAAGGGTATCTTGTTGCTATGACTCCTGGTGCCGGTGCAAATTTCGCCGAGATGCCGCAAATTTACATCACACATGGTCAGGGGTCTAATCCTCACAGTAATTCTCAAGGCGCCGCGGTGACCGAAAGGCTGAATGATCTGGGGAATGACAGGATTAACTATGGGAATAATTGTGGGGTGGTATCCATGCGAGCGAATCAGGGTGGAGAGCTTGCACCTAGCAGCAGGGTAGGGGAATTGCAGGATGAGAACTCCCAGCTGATAGATCCCGCCTCGTTCGATTGCACGAATGGGGCGCAGAACGCACAGTATGACATGATCACGAAGTCTGAAAACTCGAGGAAGAGGTTGATGACGGTGGGGACCAAGGAGTCTCTGAAGGACCGCATGATGCAGGCGTTGCGGCTAATTGGCAGATCATGTGTGGATGTGCTGGCCCAGGTGTGGATGCCCGTGCGGACCACAGACAATCAGACTGTGCTGTCTACTCGCGAGCAGCCGTTTGTGCTGGAGCGCAAAACGGATCACATGTGGACGTATCGGTCCATTAGTGAGAATTATGTTTTCGCAGTGACGGGAGGGTTCCCGGGGCTTCCAGGGCGCGTGTACTTGCAGCAGGTGCCGGAATGGACCCCAAATGTGCAATTTTACAGTGATCATGAGTACCTAAGAGTGAAGCACGCAATGGCATGTGATGTGAAGGGGACGCTAGCTGTGCCCGTGTTTGAGGCGGGCTCGCGGAATTGTTTGGCTGTCATTGAGCTTGTGATGAAGGCTGAGAAGGTTCAGTATGCTCCAGAGATTGACATAATCTGTCGGGCTCTGCAGGTGTGAATTGATAAATGCTCCTTTTAACCTTCATTCCTTTGTCCCATTGCTCACATTCTTGACAAACGATCGTAGCATGGTCTTCTAGCTTTTTGGAGTTTCCGAAATCAGAGAGAATGACACTGTTTTCACTTGCTGTATCTTGAAATTGGGTCATCGACTTCTTTCTATTTATTTTGTTTATTTTCAGTTTTATTTTTGGTTTATTTTTGAGGGAAAGTACGCTCTCGTGCATCATCAGTGTTACACCTCTGAAGAATATACCAAAAATTTGAAACTATCGTGCGGCTCAGTGCCCTTTGCTGTTCTCGTTGAGAAATGTGAGAGGTTTTCAAGTAGAGACGGCATTTATTGGTAATAGTTATGCACAGTCCAGGCATTCAGAACATTACTACGCAGTCCTGCATATGCACGCTCAGATGATTTTGAAAATAATTAGGGTCGTCATTTTCTCTTCAATTTAAGATTTGGCACATAAAGAGAATCTGTTGGCAATCCCGATGGAGGTTCTTCAGGTTTCTTTCCGAGGTGGTCCTGAAAAATGCTACGTGGCAGTTGGGGTTTTATATCCGTATTCACCAAGGACTTTTTCTACATCTGCAGGCTGTGAACTTGTCATGCTCGGATGGGATGGAGCTTCCAGCATTAGAGGTACATTCACACTCCTCTACTTCATCATCCAGCACTAACTCGAGTGTCACAAGGTCCTTTATTCTAGAATAGATGTTTTGGTCAGCATAAGAGTCTGCGGCAAACTTGCAGATTTCCCAGTTTAGCCGGCAGAGAACACTAATGTTGACTCTAAATTCCAGTAAGCTTCAGAATAGGGGGCATCGTTTATCCTATGTATTTCTGGATGTTAACATCAGATTTTGCAACAGTTTCGAACACAGGGCCGGCGCGTGGCACTTGCAGAGATCAGCGAAGTTCTGACTGCCGTTTGTGAAACCCACAACCTCCCGCTAGCTCAGACGTGGGTTCCTGGGAGCCACCACTCACTGGAAAAGCCCAGCAACAATAAAAAGTCTCGGATTGAAAGTGGCGGCAACAGTAAAAGTTCCGGGGGCAGTTACAGCAGCAGCCGCGTCTGTCTGCGTACCGGCGACGGTCCTCACTACGTTAAGGACAGCAAGATGTGGGGATTCAGGCAAGCATGTCTAGAGCATTTCTTGGAGAAGGGACAGGGTGTTCCTGGCAAGGCCTTCGCCTCCAACCAACCCGCTTTCGAAAGCGATGTAAAAAACTACAGCAAGATTAAGTATCCTTTAGGGCATTACGCGCAGCTGTTTGGCCTCACTGCGGCAGTTGCGATCCGTTTGAGAAGTATCCACACGGGGACTGATGACTTCGTGCTAGAGTTTTTTCTCCCGGTGAATTGCACCAGCAGTAATGACCAGCAAGTGATGTTAAATTCTCTATCGATTACGATGCAGCGCGTATGTCGAAGCTTGAGGACTGTTACGGATAAAGAGTTTGCGGATGAGGTGAAGGCTGCCACAGCGGAGGAGAAGGCGGATGCCGAGAGCACTCTTTCGAAGGCGATGGATCCGCTTGAGGACCAGGGAAGTGGCGGTGCGTCTGCAATGGGATCATCTTTTTCCGAGAATGCAACGGAAGGGGATCACTTGCAAGAGAAGCTAGCACAGGATCCACAAGTAGCGTCAGCGTCTTCGTTGCAGCGTTCTCAGTCAGTCGCGAGCAAAAACGTTCAAATGGAAGAATCCAGCGAACATGTCGAGCCAATGTCGAATGGCCAGAAGCAAACGGCTGCCCGAGAGGCGGGAGCTTTGAGAACGTTCACGAGCATAGCGCAGAACGCTGCGAATCCGAACAGAAAGCTAGACAAGAGGCGGGGGACGACGGAGAAGACGATAGGGCTGGACGTTCTGCAGCAGTATTTCGCAGGCAGCTTGAAGGACGCAGCGAAGAGCATTGGCGTGTGTCCAACCACTTTGAAACGAATTTGTCGTCAGCATGGGATACCGAGGTGGCCGTCACGGAAGATCAACAAGGTGAGCCGGTCTCTGAAGAAGCTTCAGGGCGTGATCGAATCGGTGCAAGGCGCGGATGGAGCTTTGCAAATTAATGCTCTGAGCGGCGACATCGCCTCCGCGGCAGTCGCTGCGGCAGCAGTGACGGGCGTGCCAGCAGCGAAGGATGCTGACACACCAGAGGGACGACCAGCTGCCTCTCCCAGTGATGGCCATCTCAACAAGCAGGACGGGTTGATCAATGGCGAGAGTAATCAAACTCCAATGTCAAATTTAGACGAGGAGTTTTCACCCCGTGATTCTCAACCCTCCCGGCATCCCGCAGTAGCTTCTAACTTGAGCTATGCTCGTGTGGGGTCCAAAGATGCTGCAAATCTAGCGAACACAACCGACACAAGATCTTCACCTACAGATCACACATGGAACCGCAACTCGGATGAAAGCTCTGAAGGTGCTGGACGCGACTCGACGACCTACGGCGACACACAAAACTTCGTCACGGTCTCTTCGGAGCAGGAGTTAAAGGGCGCGGTCCGGAAGCTGGATCGCAAAGAGGATGCAAGCGCAAACCTGGACACGCCTCTACTGTGTCTTCCTAATGGAAGCTCCAGCCGCAGCCAGTGCGGCGCATCGGACAGCAGCATGTCGGAATTCTGCCGCAACGCTGACTCAGGAAGTGGGACTGGCTTTTATGGAGGTGCGATCTGCGTGGAGTCGCGTGTCCACGGCGGCGCGCGCGCGCTAGCTGCATTGCGGGACTCCGACCTGAGCTCATATGGGAACCCTGTCGCTTGTGGGCGGTACCCACTGGAAGATTCTCCGCGGGAGGTGACCGGTGGTCATCGAACTGGATCATCGCAGCATAATGGCAGCGATTCAAGTTCCCCGTCATCGGGTGCGGGAGGACATCCTCGCAAGCACTGGCCAGCTCCCGCCCCGGAACCCGAGGCTGTGACAGTGAAGGCAACGTTCGGAGCCGACACAGTGCGGTTTAAGCTGCTGGTAAAATCTAGTTATCTAGAACTCAGAACTGAGATCAGTGGCCGATTAAAAGTGGACGATCAGGGTTTTGATCTGAAGTACCTGGATGACGAGGAGGAGTGGATGCTGATCACATGCGACGCCGATGTCAAGGAGTGCATCGAGGTGGCGCGGACGCTGGGGAGGCACACGGTGAAACTGATGGTGCGGGAGAATGGCTCCCGGAACTCGAGCGGAAACAACTCCAACATCAGTCTGCAGGTAATGACCACCAGTTAGGATAGAACACCCCATCTCGCCAACTGACGCGACTGTCTTTGGATCTGGAAAAACGCCAATCTTCAAAGATGGAAAATCAATGTCTGTATCTAGAAAGATTTGTGCCGGGACAGCGCCCCTGAGAGCTACCCAAGCGGAACTGTGATCATCTGGTCCTGGCTATTACACTGGGAGAAAACATTAGGGTTAGGTGACAAGATCATACACGGAGGAGAGCAAGATCAAGAGCAAGAGCAAGTTCAGCAGCTCTGGAATGGAATCAAAGGAGGTAAAGCAGTAACGCGGCCGTAAGGTTTTCCGAAGCACAGCCTCAGGCTGTTGATGTGAACCAGGCCCCTTACCAAACTTTCCACAATTATACCATCCTATTGCTAGCTGCTGGACATGGAAGCGGCTCCTCCTAAGTTGGGAGAATCGGCAATTGCATTCAAAAGTGATCCCTTGGAACATCGTCACGCTGGGAGGATTGATAATTTGGTTTGCAGCTTGATGAAGGTCTACGCAGAAGTGGGAACCAAGTACATAGTGGACCAAGATTAAAATATCCCTTTTACATGAGAGCACTTTCAGCAGGGTCTTGGTGCTTTTGTTCATCATGTGAATAATCAAGTTGCATAATCTCCCTTGTATTTTATGAAACCTCGTAGGTGCAGGGTAGCTCATACTCTCCTGACTATAGGTGCTTGCCCTTCTACGATCATCGCCACAAGTGTTCCCAATACATTCAATCAACTTGTTGAATTGTATACTACGGCTCCCTCTTAGTGTTTTCTGTCTACTTCTGATCTGGATGGTTCTTCAACATGATGTTCGAACTGAATGGAATTGAACTTTTCTGGTTTTGTGTGGAGAGATGTGCAGAATGTAGTGTTCATTGCTTGAAGAATAGGAGGAATGTAAAGCTTTGCTTATTGAAGTTGCCGTTCATGAAGTAAATGTGAAACTGTGATTGTTGACTGGATATGTAGCGCTGGAAAACAGACCGTTTATTCATGTTGCGAAGCTTTAAGACCCGTTCAAAGCAATTATGGGGCACTGTTAAAATATGTAATTGTCTGTTCATCCATGTGTAAATTATACAGGAAAATGGAGTATTGAAGGAAAAAAAGGCTATCGGAACAATTTTTGGAAACTGAATTTCATGAAATGATTCAGGTGTAGATGAATAATTGTGATAATGAAATAGTAATATTGTTTTAAAGATTACATAGAATTTATTACAAAAATAATTTATAATATGATAAATATTTATATTATATACTTCTATCTTCCAATAATTATTTTTTAATAGATTTTAAAATCATAATACTACTACTTTGGTCCTTTAAAAATCAACAAAATTTAAAAGAAAATTCAACTTTACTAGGTGTTTGCTATAATAGTAATTTATAAGCCAATTAGATAAACTTATAATCAAATAGGGTGTAATTTGATCATTAGTGACTTCTATCATAAGTCCAAATTGAATATATAATATAAATTATTACATGTATGGAGCAAAATTATAAGATAAAGATTTATATGTTTAAAAAAAAAAACCATAATATTTACATCAAATGTAATATTAGAATTGTTATAACAAGTAATAATATTTTTTTATACTTATTATAAAATCCTTCTCTATATTCATGTGCTTATAAGTTAAATCCTTATAAGAAGTGTAATCAAGATATATATAATAGTTTTTAATAAAAAATTTTATGCATTCAAAAAATTCTATAGAATTTTGACTTCTTGCACATAAAATAATTTTTAGTTAAAGAATTATATTGCCAACATGTCAATAAGAGCCATTAAATCCAAGTTGGATAAACATGTAACTTAAAGTGCTTGTGGTTGTTTTAACAAAAACAAATCTCTTAGGGTGTTTTTTAACAATTTTATTTCTTAAACAATTTTCATCGACAATCTTAATACTATTTGTGTACTCTTTTTCAAGTCTCTTAATAGGTATTATTACAACCTTAAAGCTGTTTAAAATATTTTCTATGGTTGTGGGTAGATCTTTACAACTTATTAAGATAGATATATTTTTTAATTTTTAGAATTATAATTAACTACTAATGTATTTTAAATATGTAAATAAATAATTATATTTCTTTCAAGATTAGAATAATATAGTGTATATAAAATTATATTGTAGTAAATATTTCTTAATTGGATTACAAATTTAAATTTATAAAGAATATTCTTATAAGAATATAATCTCTATTTAATTTATTTTATCAAATATTCTTTATTAACTTAAGTTTAAAAAAATTTTATGAATTAATTTTGATAATTAATCATTCATTATAAGATCTATTCAAAAGCCTATTTGTAGAAGTCTTAGAAGTTGATATTTATTTTGAACTAAAAGCTTCTAACAATAAAACTTGCATAATGTGATACAAATTATTCCTATATTTATCTATATTTGAAAAGCTATTATCTTTACATATTGATTTTTTACTTAAATTATTAATGTTTTAAATCTAAAATTGGCACTTGAAATAATTTCAATTCAATACATGACTTTAGGCCTCAAAAGAAGCAACTTGATTCATGTATGTAATTTTTTTTCACAATTAATATTTTTTACTGTAATATTATTATTATTTTAAATATTTGTTAGAAAATAATTAATTGCATGTTTATGTAATTAGATAAAAATTTGTTGTCTCTACTATTTTAATATTTAAAAAAATCTATATTTAATAAATTTATAAAAATAATAACCATATTTACAATAAATGTAATAGATATGGTGGACTTCTAATCTTTGTAAGAAGTATCAACACCACTCTTAACTTAGGTGTAGTCCTCTCTTTGCAATAATTGCATTTAATATGTAAACTATTGGTATTTTAGTAGACATTGTGAAAAAGATACCTACCTTACAATCTTTGTAAGATTAAAAACATATTAGATGGTTTCAAAAACTAGTATTAAAGAGATTAACCTTAGAACTATTGATACTATTGTATGTAGTATCTAGTTTTTGTATATATCTTTATAGGAACTATTGATACTATTAAATATCTTTAATCAAAACTAGTATTAAAGAGATTCAGCTTAGAACTATTTATAGAAAATAAATGTAATAGAAATGGTGGACTTCTAATCTTTGTAGAAAGCTTAGAACTATATATCTATGAAGACAAAGATATTTAAGATTATTAAAGATATTTACTAGTATCAATTGTATATAATATCTAGTTTTTGTTAAGATATTTGTATAATTTGAAATTTTAATTTTAATTTTAATCCATTCAATCCTTTATCTATTGAATATAAGACTATAATTCTAAGATGGATTATTTTAAAGAATTTCTTAAGAAATTCATTTATTTTATTAAAATCCTAATTAAAAAATTTAGAACTTTTTTGGATAAAATTGAAAAAAAATTTAAATCACTAAATTCTAATAAAGTACAACAATTGATTTAAAAAGATAATATGATTTTTTTTTTAGATTCATCAATTATATATCTAAAATTTAAAATCATCTTATCAAACTACAACTATTTGCATACTAGATATGTGTATTTCTTTAAAGTTATATATGAAATCAACTATTATTCTTCATTAAAAACAACTTAAAATCTTAAAACTTTGATTTATTTTTTTTTAAAAACTATAGTTTACTCTTACATAGTACTAGAGAGATAAAATTTATGTTAACTTAGAATTGTACTAAAGTTCTAAATAACATGACTACTTGATGGCAATAACCAATCCAAATTGATGAATAGAAGAACATATTGTAGTGCTAAAATATCATTTGTTTTAGTAAAAATTCATTCAATGTTAAAAATCATTAAGTGCATTCTAAAATAGACACAACTAATTTCAATAAGTAGTGATGGAACAAATCTATACAACAATGTACTTTAGTCAACATCTATTCTAGAAAATTTATTCAAATAAAAAAATAGAATAAATCTTGTCCTAAAATCATACTACAAAAGTAAATCAACTCTCTCCTTTACAATTAGTAAAAATTTGAATTTATCAAAATTGATTCCACAATAGCCTAAAGCCTTATAATAAAATTTGTTTATTATTGGATTTTCAAGAGTAGCTAATTTTACATCAAAGGAAAGACAAACATTAAAGCCTATCTGAAAAGATGGAGCTAGGCAAATCATTCTATTTATACAATCAATAAAGACAACTAATGTCTCTCTTATCTAATAATAAGGCGTGTTTATTTAGTCTTTAAAAGACATATATGACAATACATTAAGTTTTGTTTTAAAAGTAATTACCATGGCCAAATTAGCTTAATAAGTAACTATTCTAATATAGTTGTAACATATGAAATGATAACAATCCTACCTAAAAATGCAATGAATATATATATATATATATATATATATATAACTTTATTAATCAAAATAATTCAATTAAGTTTTCATATTAATAAAAAAAATTCAGACTATGAATTAGACTAAAATATTTTTACCTATCTTTTAACAAAATAATATTTTGAAATATTAAATTTATTAAAACATTGTGCTGATAGACCATCTTTGAATTATTTTTATGTATTATTAATTCTACACCACAAGCTACTTGCAAGTTATAAATTCAATCTTAAATTTTTTTAGCAAGAGAATGTCCAAACAATCATTAGAAACATATAGATATAACAAAGTAGGATACTATTTATAGTTAAGTTTAGAAAAGCTATAAAATCATATAATCATTATTCCAAAAAATAGATCAATCTACTCAAATAAGAAGAGGTAGAGAAAAAAAAATAAGTATAAGGTTACAAGAAACTACATATATATTATAATAATCGAAAGATGAAAGATGACTTTAAAATCTTACTTGACCATATAGCATTGATTGAATAACAAAAAAATAAAGAAAATAGATTAGAATTAAGATAAAATAGATTTCTATTAGTAATTGTTATTTTAGAGAATTTTTTTAAGCATTATAAAATAAATGCCACCAATTAAGAATACCCAATTTTGAAAACCATTAGGGTATTGAGATTTAAAAAATTCTTAACTAATATTTTTTTATAAAAATAAATTAAATAGAAATAAAATAAGTAATTATAAGATTCAATTTTTATTAGACATATTCAAATAATTATATTCTAAAAAACATAATAATGAACTAAAAACTTCTATAGAGGATCTACCAATAACAAAAGAATCAAATGAAGGTATTAAATATTTGGCCAAAGATAAAACACCAAGCCTAGTAGAATTGATATTGAATTCTTTTGAATATATTGTCTATTGTAGAGTATGGCCATATAAATTTCTTTTATAGATTCTATGAAAAGAATATCTTTTTAGATTAATCATTTGAAGTCTCATCATTCTTGCATTTTAAAATAAATAAAGAGGTGCTTAGAAATCATAGTTCAATCATTTTTTTCTATATAACATATATGATATTTTAATTTTTTTTATAATAAAATATTCATTTGTATGCCAATACTTTAATAGCAAGGTCTTAAAAAAGTTAAAAGCTGAATACTCAACAAGATTCAATCTAATAAGAAGGCTTATTATTGTAAATTATTTTATGTTGGTATTTGTAATATATTTTATTATGGCATCTTAAAGAAATAAATGCAATCAAAAGAAAAGCTAAAAATTTCTTTTGGAGTAGCACAATAACAAATTATAAAACTAAAAGTAGTGAGACCAATTCCTAACTAATGATTGCTTTAATATATTTGATTATGAACACGTATTTAATACAATAGCAAGAACATGCTTACTAAAGATACTTATGCTAAGGCAATCTAGTGTCATATAATTTCCAAAAAATATATATTTAGCTAAAAATTATGTTCAATGGTACTATAAAATTAAATCCAAGTTTTCTATTA